ATTTACAGTTAGATAAATACATTCACCAACTTTTATTTAAATAAAACCATTTAAACTGGGTGTTCGGATTTATATGTCACTTAGTATATGATAGTGAGACATCAGTCTTTCGAGGAACATGCGCATTCACACCTTTGACCTTTGTTGTGCTGTCGTTAAGTAGTAAAGTTGCGTTAAAGTCTGCGATTCATTGCTTTGCAGTGGTCGATCTTAGCGATAGATGGCGCCTGGCGCTGTCTTATTCCGATAGATCACACACTTTGCATAGTTGCTGTGCTTTCGTTCATTGTCCATAGCCTAAACCATGCTGACGAGTAGCCAAAAGGCACGAAACAGCTACTCATGGTTGACTGTCTTTGGTCAGACGGATAAAAGCAGAACATATTTATTTTTTTTAATAAAGTTTTATTTCAAAATTAAAGGTTAGGCGAAATTTGTCTAAATTTAAGGATTAATGAAATATAAAAATAGTTCAGTTATCATTTACAAAAATATCACAGACATTTGGAGATTGTTACCCACTGGGCAGTCGGCAGCGTCGCAGCATCGCGCCGTGCACGCAACACCAACGATTTAAGTTATTCCGATTACGAGTACATGATCAGACATTTATCATTTAATGATCCCGTTGTTATCGGGATTTGAAGCTCCTTAATGATAAAACGTCTAAAGGCGTAACATTTAACATCCCCAAATATCAATCCATACAAAAAAAATTCTGAAAATGATCAGGAGCCTCTGAAATGTCAAAAAACGATGTCTGCGCGATTTTTATTTTTTTCGCTTTGTGTCCTCCACTCCGCCTTGGCATAGTGGTAACCTGGTCTGAAAATTATATCAAAATCAAGGACTAGCGGAAAGATAGATAGATAGACAGTCCAACGGAAATTATTGATACTGTTTTTCGTATTGTACATGTAAAGAGAGGGCACATTACAATTGCAATCGAACGTGTTCCATCAGAATCGTTTTCATAAGAACGATACGGATTTCATTCCTAAAGTTGCAAGAATCCATCCATGGACATACATAAATGTTTAACCCATCGTCCTGTATTAAACAAGTTAAAAATTTATATTCTAAGTGAGATATAAATCCGAACGCCCAGTTTAAATGGTTTTATTTTAATAAAAGTTGGTGAATGAATTTATCTTACTGTAAATAACAAGTGAAAACATTTTCAGCCTTATCAGTTGGACATTCCGGTTTTTATACTGCTTTTTTTTAATTCACTAACGCTCTAAAAATGAATATTTCAGCCGCAGTAAAGAATCAACGTTGGCGGATTTTGGTTCTTGTCATCCTTTACGATCGGTTACGATGCCTAGAGTACGGAGACCTGTACGATTTCCTCAACTTAGTGAGTTTGATAGGGGCCGTATAGTGGGACTTCGGGAAGCTGGACTTTCTTTTCGGGCAATTGCAGTTAGAGTGCAAATAAGTGTAGACACTGTGGTTAGGTGTTGTCAGGCATGGCTTCGAGAAGGCCGTACGCAAAGAGCAAGGGGCACTGGACGCCACCGTAGAACAACAAACCGTGAAGATCGCCGCCTAAGATTATTGGCCTTAAGGGACCGTTTCTCCACTACCAGGTCCATTGCAAATGAATGGTTTGCAGAACACGGAAGACCTATTGGCATGCGAAGCGTTTACCGACGAATGATAAGTTTTGGCTTGTTATCATACCGGCCACACTGGGTCCTCTCTTTAACTCGAGAACACCGACGTAATCGCCTTGAGTGGTGCAGACAACGGTCACTCTGGGAATAGGAATGGAACAGTATTGTCTTTAGTGACGAGTCTCGATTTTGTTTAGGCATGCACGATGGTCGTGCCAGGGTTAGAAGGCGATGTGGTGAAAGGAGGAATCCACAGTTTTTTCTTGAAAGACATGTTCATCACACTGTTGGAGTTATGGTTTGGGGTGCTATAGCTTATGGTTCCAGGTCACCTTTAATCTTCATCAGAGGTAACATGAACGCGCAGCGTTATATCCACGAAGTTCTAGAACCCCATCTTTTACCCTATCTTGACACCCTGGCAGATCCAACTTTCCAACAAGATAATGCCCGACCACATGTTGCAAGAGTCACAATAGACTTCTTTCAACATAATGATGTCACATTGTTACCATGGCCACCAAGATCTCCCGACTTATCCCCAATTGAGCACGTGTGGGATATGATGGGTAGGAGATTGCTCAATTTGCAACGTCCTCCTCAGACTCTAGAGGCACTTCGAGAGGAGTTGGTGGTTGCCTGGAATGAGATACCACAGGAGGACATTGACCACCTGATCAGAAGCATGCCTAGGCGCGTTGGAGAATGCGTAGCACATCAGGGTGCATCCACACATTATTAAAGGTCAAAGGGCTTTAAAGCAGTGCAATCATTTTGAAATTTTTATCATTTACTTATTATGCTTCATTAAGTACTTATACAAAATTTTATTAAAATAAAACCATTTAAACTGGGCGTTCGGATTCACTTAGTATATCACCAGTCATGACATATTATAATAATAATAATAATAATTTTTCTTGGAATGTTCATACATAAAAATATAAAAACGACGGTATTCCAAAAGGAAAGAGGATTGGCAGGGCCATTTTTCACCTCCCCCTAAAAAGTTAACTTCATGAGCGTTTTTTAACATCAACAGAATGATTAGTATTCACAAGAAGTATTATGCACAACACAGTATATAATACGATATAGTCTGAGTGTTAATGGAGGGTAGTGTAGCAGGCGCCATAAATTTAATTTGTGGATTCAAATCTTTGCAGCTGTAGTAGCACTTTTTCCATCTCATTTCTGAAGTTTTGGATGGAAGGTGCTTGAAAAAGTTCTAAATGATCGTTTAGTAGATATGGTGCCGTGTAAGTATACTAAGTGACATATAAATCCGAGCACCCAGTTTAAATGGTTTTATTTTAATAAAATTTTTTATAAGTACTTAATGAAGCATAATTAGTAAATGATAAAAATTTTAAAATGATTGCACTGCTTTAAAGCCCTTTGACCTTTAATAATGTGTGGATGCACCCTGATGTGCTACGCATTCTCCAACGCGCCTAGGCATGCTTCTGATCAGGTGGTCAATGTCCTCCTGTGGTATCTCATTCCAGGCAACCACCAACTCCTCTCGAAGTGCTTCTAGAGTCTGAGGAGGACGTTGCAAATTGAGCAATCTCCTACCCATCATATCCCACACGTGCTCAATTGGGGATAAGTCGGGAGATCTTGGTGGCCATGTTAACAATATGACATCATTATGTTGAAAGAAGTCTATTGTGACTCTTGCAACATGTGGTCCGGCATTATCTTGTTGGAAAGTTGGATCTGCCAGGGTGTCAAGATAGGGTAAAAGATGGGGTTCTAGAACTTCGTGGATATAACGCTGCGCGTTCATGTTACCTCTGATGAGTGGAGAAACGGTCCCTTAAGGCCAATAATCTTAGGCGGCGATCTTCACGGTCTGTCCAGTGCCCCTTGCTCTTTGCGTACGGCCTTCTCGAAGCCATGCCTGACAACACCTAACCACAGTGTCTACACTTCTTTGCACTGTAACTGCAATTGCCCGAAAAGAAAGTCCAGCTTCCCGATGTCCCACTATACGGCCCCTATCAATCTCACTAAGTTGACGAAATCGTACAGGTCTCCGTACTCTAGGCATCGTAACCGATCGTAAAGGATGTCAAGAACCAAAATCCGCCAACGTTGATTCTTTACTGCGGCTGAAATATTCATTTTTAGAGCGTTAGTGAATTAAAAAAAAGCAGTATAAAAACCGGAATATCCAACTGATAAGGCTGAAAATTTTTTCACTTGTTATTTACAGTAAGATAAATACATTCACCAACTTTTATTAAAATAAAACCATTTAAACTGAGTGTTCGGATTTATATGTCACTTAGTATAAAACATTTTTTGAATTTAGATGTTGTATGAACTGGAATATTGAAGTATTCATTTGTTGCGTAAGGAAACTTTACGGAGTGAACATCTCTCCTCCAAAGCAATAAACAGATATCTGGGTAATTTGTATTTTAATACTTTATATAGTAGAGCTCCATCCTGAAGTAATACACGATACTTGAATTTTAAAAGATTTTCACTATCCAGTAATATGTACTTCTCTTTGAAACAGAATCTAATGCAGCAGTTTTGTAATACTTGAATTTTGTGCTTCATTTCTTCCGTCAGAAAATTATAATATACTGTAGCGCCATAGTCTGGGTGAGTGAGGATTAGTGCATTGGTAAGCCTTAATTTTATATCGCTGGTTAAAACATGTTTGTATCTCCAAAGTGACTTGTATTTACAATAGCATAGTTTATTAATGACGTGGTTCTCAAAACTCAAATTTGTGTCCAACAAAATGATTAAATTCTTAGTCTCCTCTACAATTTCAACAGATATATCACCTAAAACAATGGCTGTACTCATCAATCCTTTAAATTTTGAAATATTTAACCTAGAACCAATGCAGCAAGCTTTAGTTTTTGTGGGATTAAAAAAAAAATCACCTTCGAAGGCGAATAAATCCAGCAATGGAGCTCCGACCAAGAAGCCAAAAGCACCAAAACCGAAAACGGCGAAGGCTGCAACATCGCCGAAAAGGAAGGCCGCTTGTCACAAAAAGAAGAAATAAAAAAAAAATTTAGACGTGTTGCAACGTCGTAGATTACGGTTCGCGACGTTATATTTATGCGAGAGGATGCTATTTGTCCCCGCGGATTGAAATATCATAATGATTTACATACCGTACTGCTGTCTTCGGTATAATCCTCAGGAAAGAGCAAGAAGTTAACACCCATAAAGGTCCGATACCGTCTACACCAGGCAAGCATTTCAGATCATACTCCAGTTATCATGACCGTGATCCTCGTTTAAATACACTGCCTAGCTCAAGTTCAATGTCTAATCTCCCCGGCAAACATCTCCGGATCAACTATATTCTGTCGTGAAATCCTTATCCTGTTGTCTTTTTTGATTTACCTCGCACTGAGTTGCCAACAGAGGCGTACAACGGAACTGGTGTTTTCCAGTTCTGTTATAAAAATTAAATCGATGAGGTCTTGCTGGTAGGGTTTGGGCTGGCTGAGGTCAATAGAAGTGGAGAGGTACAAGGTCACCCACCTTTTTCATATAGACCTAAGACTTTATGCCTCCGGACAATGGGACTTACAGCAGTCGCTCTGGTTAGTGCTATAGTCGTACTACTGGTGTAGAATTTGGGATAGACAAATGCGATATGGTTCAACTCAAGTAAGGACGTTACCATGATAGGGTGCAGCTAAGGAACCCTTTTCTGCTTGTGGAGATCTGAATCAATGATCAAATAGCGATGAGTATGAACACATTTCTGTTGATGAGAAAACATGCTAATAAGTGAAAAACAGTTTCTCTATAATTTTAATTTTTGAAGACAAATGTACGGGGAAACCCATGATGTCTGAAATATGGTCAAAAGGAACATAGAATCACTGGGGATGGGAGCGTAAAATATACTAACATCAAAAAATTGAGTTATACCCTCCCCGACCCCTTACATCTTCCAATTTTTAACCCCTACACATTTTTTTCTGAAAATGGTAAGCTTCAAGAAACAAAGCTTTAACGATACCTACACCACTCAAAAAAATTAAGCCAGCAAGTAAAAGATCCAAATTTTTTGGTGATCTTTGGTTGGCTGCATTTATGTGAAAAATGGTCGCATCCAGACTTTAAAAGCATTTTGAAGCTCTAAAATTTCAGTTTTCAAGTTTTTAGCTGATAAATCCTGGGAGCAACGATTCTCGTGCAATTCTGACAGATGACGCAGGAAAAACGTTTTGCAAAATTTTCGACTTATTTGTAGTCCAAGAGTGAGAAAAAATGTTTTCTGTTAGGTCATCATATGGATCAGCTTCAATATTTTTTTTTATACTCCAACCACCACGAAGATCTAAAATAGGGGGGGGGGGTGCCCTTGCTTTGGAAAATCTACCTCCTTTTTGGAACTGCTAATGAGAAGATAGACCGACAGGAAGACCGATGGAAATGAATGACATAATTTTTCATGACAAATATGTCGTATAACACCCAAACAGCATGATAACGGGTGATTTTTTAAGAGGTATAGGATCTGATTTTCAAAAAAAAAACACAAAAAATTTGAAAAAACGATTAAATCTTTATTTGAGTCGATAGAACGGTCGATATAATTTAATGTTTAAAGATTATTTCATGTAAATGTTGGCCGCGGCTCCGCTTTAGATGCGCAAGGTCCAATTTTGGCACACTCTCTCCAACATATCGGCCGGTATCTCACGAATAAATGCTTCAATATTGGCTTCCAGTGCGTCAATCGTTGCTGGTTTATCCCTGTAGACATTAGCCTTAACATGGCCCCACAAGAAATAGTCCAACGGCATTAAATCACACGATCTAGGCGGCCAATTGACGGGCCCCAAACATGAGATAAACTGTTCACCGAACTCGCCTCTCAATAGGGCCACTGTTTCGTGTGCGGTGTGGCATGTGGCACCGTCTTGTTGAAACCACATGTCAGCCAAGTCCAGCTCTTCCATTTTGGGCAAAAAAAAGTTTGTTATCATCGCACAGTAGCGCTCGCCATTCACAATTACGTTCCGGCCATTGTCGTCTTTGAAGAAGTACGGCCCGATGATGCCACCGGCCCATAATCCACACCAAACAGTGATTTTTTCGGGATGCCTTGGTAGCTCTTGCAATGCTTCTGATTGATGCGACAATTTTGCTTGTTAACGTACCCATTCAACCAGAAATGAGCTTCGTCGCTGAACACAATTTTTCGATAAAAATGTGGATCTTCCTCCAACTTTGCCAGCGCCCATTCACCAAATGGGAAAAGTTGTGGAAGGTCGTGTGGCTTCAATTCTTGCACCAGCTGTATCTTATAAGGTTTTACACCCAAATCCTGTCGCAAAATTTTCCACGTAGTGGAGCAACAGAGGCCCAATTGCTGCGAACGGCGGCGAATCGACATTTTACGGTCATCACTAACACTGGCGGATACAGCCGCAATATTTTCTTCAGTCCTCACTCTACGTCTGCGTGTTGGTGGTTTAATGTCGAATAATGTAAACTGGGTTCGAAATTTAGTCACAAGCTTCCGAATAGCTTCCTCAGTAGGCCGACCAAATTGCCCATAAATTGGAAGCAGTGCTCGATGCACTCTCTTAACCGAGTATGAACTTTGATATTAAAATTCAATAATTTGCAAGCGTTGTTCGTTCGTAAGTCGATTCATGGTTAAATTATAGACCAAACTGAACAAGTTTGACAATGACACAAGACACGATTCACGCGTCATCTGTCAAAAACAGTGTTGCCAAAAAGGTACTAGCAAAAAAATCACCCATTATATCGTTTTAGAATTTTTTCGTGATTACAATACTTAATCGCAGTGGCAGAGGAAGTAAAAGTTACTCTTAAGAATATAATTCGATTTTCGATAGAACTGGGAACATTTTCACTAGTTAGCCCGATAAGTAGAAATCAACTAATACGCTCTATTACCCTCTTCAGACGCATATTTCCTAATCCGGGGTATACGAGTATAAAATCTACGCCAGTGAAATGAACCGATCGAAATAGAAACCGGGCACAGCTGCGTTAAATACGATCAAATGGTAACAAAAAGAAAAAATACGTTGCCGCGAGCAGTCTACTGCTCTGCATATAACAAGAGCCCCTTTAGCTACATAAGCCAGTCTCGTAATCACTCCAATGGAAAAAGATTTCCTCTGTTACGTCGAAAATATTCTTCGGCGATATGCGGTACAACGGATCCAGTTAAAGACCTTTCCAAGGAATTCTATAGATAAAGAACCGCGCAGATTATTAGACATGAAATATTATATCCGACAAATCCTTGTGAATGTCGGTCTATGTATATTCTGCTGCACTGTTGTGAAGAGCCAGACAATGGCAACTTGACCTTGGCAGTGAATTGCTTGGAGTCTGGGAATTTATCAAGGATACAAAAAGGTTGTTTCTTAGAGTAGAGCGAAGGACGGTTGACATTAAGTTATATAATGAATCAGTCAGGAAGGGAAATATTATATTTCTGCTTCATTCCAGGATGTTCCGAGAAAGGCGATTCAAAGAATAGGCACTTGTAGCACATAACAATTCATAGCAGAGGTTCCACCTGAATGTCACAGCTTATTACTCCAGGGGATAAGATTTTGGGCTTCAATTTCAATATTGCAAAATAAGCACTGCTAAAGGTGAAATAAGCGTGCGATATTGTATTTGCTGTTGAGAGGCATGTACACAGGACCATTTCTCTTTGTTCAAGGCAATATGACAAACCACTTTACTGTCGTTTATCTAGAGCAGAGTTCCCCAAACTTTTTTGTGTCTTAGACCCCTTGCCATGTTTTTCTGTGTTGGGTAGACCCCCTACTTACCTGATATTGATTTCCTGTAAATTTCTAACTGTAGTGAAGTTTAGTGTTAAAAACTTAAAGTAAAAACACATGTTAATTTATACATTTATTAATTGAATTTAAATTAAAACTACTCAAAATAAAATTTTGTATCTGTTATGTAAAATATACGTAACATTAAATAAACAGGTGTCTGACCAATAAGTGCCCGCATTGGGAATAAGTGCCCGCATTGAAAAAAAAATAAGAGGGATAAAATAAAGAAAAAGTGAAAAATAATAAAAAAAAAGTTTTTTACTTAAAATAGTACAATAAGCGAGTTCGTTTATTAATTATAACATAAACGTATGTTCTACAATAATTTCACTGTTAGTGTGATTAAATTCCGCTTCTTATACGTTTAAGTTCTAAATCCTTGAATTTTCAGAATAATTTAAAAAAAAATGTTTTATAAAGGGGGGTTCTTTAAAGAAATCATTGCGGGTACTTATTCCCAATGCGGGCATTTATTAGTCAGACAGCAATAAACTATAAATAAAATAATATAAGCAATAAGTCAATATTTTTAGTGAGAAGGATGAACCTGATGCTTTTATAATAAATTATCAACATTTGGCGTCAATTTTGTAAGGGTTAATCATAAATCTCCTCGGCTAATGATGTTCAGTCTGTTTCTTTTTTTCGTTAGGAGATTGGTAACAGCGCTGAACCCCCTTTCCACTAGGTATGACGATGGAAAGGAAATTAAAAATTTCCTCGCTATATTCCATAATACAGGATAAGTAACGGGTATGTTGTTTTGCAGCCAGAATTGCTGATATCCGTTTTTAAACTGAACCTTAAGTTCTTCGTTTGTACTTAGTTCAGTCAGTTCCTCTTGTATTATGGCATTCGTTTCTTCTATGTCACGGTGGTATTACCATAGTCAAAATATCCTCAAACCTAGATTTAAAATCTGAATAGAGGGCATTTAAATGTTGAACGTAAGTTGAAACGTCGTCTTCCTGGCAGCTTGTCTGTGACAAATTGGGGAACTGAGAAAATTCGCCCCGTCCAATATTTTGCTTCATTAGTTTAACTCTGGCAAGAAACGCTGATATGATGGACTTTGTTTTAATCAAATTTAAACTGTCGCCTTGTAATTGCAAATTAACCATATTAAATTTTGTAAACAAATCTGTTAAATAGGCGATGTCTGTTTTCCTCTTCATTAAATTTTCTTTTAAAACTTTATCTTTAGTATCCAGAAATTCTAAAATAGTCTCAAAAAGTGCAAAAAATCTTGTCAAACATAAGCCTTTCGACAGCCAGCGTACTTCAGTGTGAAGGAGTAATTGATGAAAGTGTTCGTCATTTTCTTCACACAACTGCGCAAATAACCGCGTATTCAACGCGTTGCTTTGGATTCGGTTTACTGCATCAATGACTAAATGAAGTGATTCATGCAATCTAACACTCAAAGTTTTAGCAACTAAATGTTGTCGATGGATGACGCAATGTATTGCTAACACCCCTGACACATTTTGTTTTAAATAGCTTATAAATCCACGATAACGTCCAACCATGGCAGGTGCTCCATCTGTAGCTACTGATATTATATTTAATAAAGGAATTGCTTTTTCAATGAAGTAAT